AAGGATTATTTATTTTTACCTTATTTCTGATGAATTATATTTCCTTTGATAAACATCCTACCAATTTGGTGACTATTTATAACTATTGCATTCAGCATTCCGTTTTTATTGTTTAAATTGTTAAAAGTGCACTTTTTATCGGCTATTCCACCCAGAGACCATACCGGTGTGACCTTTATTACATATAGTAATAATGTTATAATAAATAAATCCTACAATTATCTTACTATTAAAACTGTGCATTGTCTAATTCTCTCGAAACGTAGATTTTTGAAGGTTTTACTTCTAACACGTGTGATTTGCGAACATGATTTTCTCAGAACTGTCAATAACAACAAGACTTCCCGCGTAAATATTTAAACGAGTACTCTGTGGAAAGCAGCGCGCCCTACCGGTAAAATATCTTGTCCCATAAATTGATACCATTCTTTCAACATTACGTTTGGACTCCTGGTATCTTTCCTCCGTGGATGATACCATAGAGATACTACACATAGAGCAAACAACCCAGCATAAAACCTGTTAGCAAAGTAAAAAGAGATAGAACATGGGAGGTTGATCTGTTGTCTCTCTCTAACTTACGAGTCTTTTGTTCTTTCTTGCGTTATATATATATGTGTACCGCATGAGTTAGGAGAAACAAAACATCAACCTTTCGTTTTTTGCTGCTATATTCATGCAGAGACATTTCCACTTACACAACTGCCTATGGTTTGTTTTCTCTATCTGTAATATCTCTATGTACACAATCGCCTATGGTTTGTCTACTCTATCTGTAATATCTCTATGTACACAACCGCCTATGGTTTGTCTACTCTATCTGTAATATCTCTATGTACACAACCGCCTATGGTTTGTCTACTCTATCTGTAATATCTCTATGTTTATATAACAATTGAAAATTTTACACGATAATAAAAAAGGGGAATCAAATAAATTAGCATTTCCAGAGATTGCTTGGGTCGAAGAAATTCCCGTTGAAACTTACAGAGACGAATCATTTTGTTTCTAACATTCTGACGTGGCCTTACAAATTCAGGTATATCTCCGAAAATATTTACCGGATTGGCTTCAAATTTTCAGAGAATATACTTAAATATATGTACATCCCGAAAATGAAAAAAGACCGATTTTTTGAAAATTCTAATTGTGTATAATCCTTTAAAATTGAAATAAATGTAACTTTTCACGATTGACCAATTATATCGAAGCTTTTGGTTATATTAGGGATCCTATAGGAGGGATGCACCATGTACATTGCTGGGGGACCGGAACTCAATTTTGCGCGCGAATGATTCAAACATTGAAATAATTATGAAATAATGAATTGCATCAAATATAGAAAAAAAATGAACTATATTTAATGATAATTAAAAATTTATATTAAAATAGAATAGGTTACACGAAAAAATTATTATAAATTCAATAAGAAAGACTTAATTAAGTTTGATTTGATAAAAGGAATTGTAATAAGTATTTTGAAATTTCAAAATAATTTGTAGGAATTTATACAATTTTGACAAATATAATTATCTACTATAAATATAATATTAATAATAATAATAATAATAATAATAATAATAATAATAATAATAATAAGACAAATATATAAAACAATTAAAAAATAGATTTATTTTAACATATTTTTWTTTYTYAATRTGGTACATGGTCATAGTTTTACTCGAACTGAGATTTGTTTGCTTAAAATTTTGTAAATTTTTGTGATTATACCTACGCGATGGTATAAGGTATTTACGGTCTTGCGTAGTTCTTGTTGAACTTTTGCAGTAATTAAGAATACACTGTCGAACCATGATTATTCACCACAAACAATAAGTCTGTAAACAAACGATAAGTTATAGGTTAGGTTTGTACATTTATACTTGTAACTATTAAATGAGTAAATTAAACTTACACTTATAGAAAACTACTAAAAGAAACAAAATAATTAAACATAAATATCACAATAAAAACTATAAGTATTCCAAACTTAAACTAACCACAGCTATTAATACATACTAAAGATAAACATGGCTGCGCGTTGGATCGGAAGCGGTCCCCTAAAATTTTCAGTCAATGGCACATGAGCTGAATATGTATGGCGCATCCCTCCTACAGGATCCCTAGGTTATGTTAATATGTGCTGCCATCTGGTGTTATAACTTATACAGGAATCGACGGTTAACCGAAGATTCGTACCCATGATTCGTTTATACGATACGTTTATAACTTTGTAATCGTCAGACGCCATTTTGTGCTTCATTTCGCTGTAGAGCGTCACGAAAGTTTCATCCTTTTTATTTTAATTTAATTTCGCCAAAACGTCGCAATTACATGTGAGTATGGCCAATGTTTTTTTATCGACAATAATTAGCATAATTAGATTACTGAAAAAAGAGCGGTATCGTATTGTTTTGATAGTAATGTTAAGTAGTTAAGTGACTTTATGTAGTATGCAAAGACCGGATACAGAAGAATAGGCTTTTTAACACGTATGTTTTAATTATTTTACATATTCTTTAATAATACCTTAAACATATGTTTTGTATTATTGTACGAAAACATATTAGTGTTTATTTCGGTTAAAAATTAGCAACAAAGTTGGATTCATTATAAGATTCACTTGACTGTAGTAGTTTCCGCGTTTTCGACCACCACACAATTACGTGATCATAATATTACCATTTTTTTGGCTAAGCTTTCTAATTTCTCGACAATGTAGTTTTCCTTAATATAAGAAATATTAGATATGTACATATGTAATTCTATAAATAACACGTTTAATATATATTTAAGAAATGAAAGCATCAATTTTTTCATAATTACTATATATTTTTTTTAAATATTCGAGATTAAACGAAAATAGTGAGATGTGAGATATAAAACGTTTATCTTGTGTCAGTTATATTATATACCTTACTTGTTACTAGTAAAGCTCATTGTAATATTATACCATGTAAATTGCATATAATTTTAGTAACTTACTATTTGATATATTTTATATTAAAAAAAAATAATTATTTTCTTTTTACAGAAAATGGTGTCTTCTAATCAACCGGTAAGCGCATTTGTTACTTAGGATATTATATTTTATTTAATAAGCATCAATTATTTTTGTTTACCAATTGTTCTTAATATGCTATTTTATAAAAAGCTATGCATATTTTTCTATAATTACACACTTCCCAGAAACTACAGGAAATACATTTAAGGAAACTATACATAAATCCACTGTTCTCTAATAAAATGATTATTGAGCATCATTAATACAGATGGGTAAGTCGAAGTGGTCTATAATCTGACGCAGCAAATTTGAGTATGCATTTGTTTAATCTAAATATGCAAATTTTGTATTAGATTCTACAGATATTATACACTTGATCAATGATGCTTCTGTTAGCTCAGTATAATTTGCATTATATATAACATATTATATATAGATATAATGTAAGCTTGTAATATAAAAAAACTGAGCTAAAGTAAATTCTCTAACAGACACCATGCTTGCTATTACAGAAGTATGATCGAATTTAGAGATACATACGCGTGTATACAAAAATAGTTGTCTCATATCTTCGTTTATTGTATAGCATGATTACTTTAGTTTCATATATGTATTTAATCATAGAGATATTTTTAAATATCAGAATAAGATACTTTATTTATGATATTTTGCATTTTTTCAGAGAAAAACAAAAATATTTGTGGGCCGGTTACCAGAAAATTGTCGCAACGATGAGTTGCGACAACTATTCTCACGGTTTGGTGAGGTGACGGAATGCGATGTTATGAATCGATATGGTTTCGTACACATGGCACGAGAGGAAGATGCAGCTGCGGCCATCAAAGCACTCCACAATTCAATTTTCAAAGGGGCAACCATCAACGTAGAGCAGTCAACTGGGAAGTCACGCGGAGGTGGTGGAGGACGCCGGGATGGAGACAGAAGAGGCGGACCTATGAGAGGTGGTAGAGGAGGACGAGACGGTGGTAGAGACGCTCGTCCTGGACCATACAATGATAGAAGAGGTAACTGCGTATTCTTATTTTTAATAAGACGTAACATTTATCGACGATGCTATCTTCTCATTCATCCTACAATTAACTCTGCATTTTTTTGTTTATAATAGGTTAAGATAAATAACATATTCTAATCTCATTAAATCTTTTATTATTGTTTTATTAATTTCCTTAACAACGATGAGAGTATAGCACGTTGATTTTAAATCCATATTCATTTCAAATTAAAAACCAACTGGAATATTCGGCGTGCTTTACAGTTCTTCCGATCCAACTCGTTGGTTACGATGGATCTGCTGCAGGTGGCGTCGCAGCTGGCTATACCGATTACAATCGAGGTGCTGGGGACTTTAGTGGACGAGGGACCGACTTTGGCACTGGGTATACCGACCGTGGAGCTTATGGCCAGAACGTGGGAACTGCTGCGATGGGATATACTTCAACAGCGCCAGGGATGGGTGGAGGCTATGGACCTGCTGCTGCTGTAGGAGGATATGGCCCGACCGGAACAGCTGATTATGGCAGGACTGCTGATTATACCCGTGCTGCTGATTTTGGAGCGAGAACAGATTATGGTAACGTTATGATTTGGCGTTGGATTAATTTTAGAATTTTTCTAATTAATATATTAGCAACATGATAAAAGAGTATTCTTCGAATAATAATAATAATATTAATTTGTTTCAGTTTATATATATTTATATTATTTCCAGTAGTTGGAGCTGGTATGGCAGGAGATTTCAACCGTGGAGCACCAGGCCCAGTTGATTATGGTCGTACGGATAATTTTGGGGCAAGTCGCACAGTTGACTATACTGCAAGAAATGATTATGATCGTGCTGCGACAGGACCAATGAGAAATGGAGGCGCAGCTGTTGCTGCGACAGGATATGGTACTGGCTATGCTGATGTTGGATATGATGAGAGTCATTGGTAAAATTATATTATACTTTAAAAACAATTATCTTTATGCTTTTACTTGAAAGAAAAAAACACAGAGAATATTCGATTGTTTTAAGAAAAAGAATCTTCTCAATCTTTTTCTTATACCTTTTAAAAGCGTAGTGTCGTTGTTGCATGTAATTAAAGTAATACTGATCTTATATCGATGATAATCGCGAATATCTTTTTGAGCCATTAAGTGTAAGAACATTAAAGTGATTAATTTCATTGGAACTTTTTCAAATGCATCTAACAATATTATAATTTAATTATCTCAAAAATAAATTTGCACTTTTATTAATCTGCTTAAGACCATGCACGGCCTTAAAAAAAAAAGAAAAATTACAAGAGTAAGTGCGAGTGCATGTAGAAATTGAACCATGTTGAACTTTACTTGTCTATTTTTCTAAGTAAATGTCTAGCTTCATGAAATTAATCGTTATCTAGTAGAACATTTGTAAAAGTTACATCGCAGGTATTTTTGGAATATCTATTACAAGTTTTATATTATGACGATGTCTGCTATTCTTTATATGATATAATCTAAGCCAAAGCAGAAGGGTTTTACAAGAACCGCCATATATTCAACAGATTATTGACATACAAATTGTACGCACTGCTGGTTTTGAGGTATGTAATTTCATCGTTAAGTTGCAATGAAATATTCTTACACATTTTTGATTGAACATTGTAAAGAAAGAAAGAAAGAAATAAAATGAAATAATTAAGGAGACACATATTAGAAATAACGCGGCAATCTCCTTCACCTTTGAATGTATCAACAATGGCTCACAAAATGTTCATGCCATAATAAGGAATGTTATAACAGATTATCGCAAAAAATAGAAAAGAATTAAACCAGTCATTAGTATAATACCTGATGACGCGTGATACTTCTAGCAAGCAAAAAGAAAATATTAGTTTAATGTTTTTAATAATAAACTTTTATTCACTGATTAAATTTCTTTTTTATTAGGCCAATGAGTACTGGTCCCAGCTATAGTACTGGTGCTCCCAGCTATAATACTGGTCCTGGACCACAAGCGGATATGTTTAGTAGAAGACCCGGTAGTGCCGTTCCCAGTGGTGGATACCCACCTGTCGGTGGAGGGTAAGATTCATCATTTATATTTTAAATTTTTCACTATTAAGATTTTATATGTGTTAATGACTTTTTTTTCTTTTCGTTATTGATTTCTCTTTGATAAGTATTAATCTTATGTAACACGTAGATTGGAATTTAAATAGTGGCAACTATTTATTCACAACCGATACAAAAGAGTTACATGTTTGCACCTATTACTGTCCTTCAAAGTAGTCACCAGCGTTGTGTAGAACCCGTTGCCAGCAATGTGGAAGACGTAGTATACCATTATTAGAGCCTGTTCTGTTGATGGTGTGAATGGAGCGGTCTACTGCCTGTCGAATCTTCCACATCGAAGAGTTCTAAAGCGAATGCCACGATGGGTTCCGCATGAATTGACTGAAATGCAGAAATATCCATTTCTTACGTTACGATGCTGCTCAGACGTACTTGGAGCGCTATGAGCGCGAAAGAGAGGCTTTCTTACACCGTATCGTAACACTGGATGAGACATGGCAGTTGACCGCTCCATTCGCACCATCAACAGAACAGGCTCTGCTAATGGTATACTACGTCTTCCACATCGCTGGCAACGGGTTTTACAAAATGCTGGTGACTACTTTGAAGGACAGTAACAGGTGCAAACATATAACTCTTTTGTATCGGTTGTGAATAAATAGTTGCCACTATTTAAGTTCCAACCTACGTATTTTTCAAAATAATACATATACTGTTTATTAATACAGTTATACCGAAGGATACGACAGACCTGATGCATACGGACCTCCTCCACGTGGCGGCGGCCGGTAAGTTTGATTTATATTATTTATAAATAATATATTTTTTTATGATATAGCGAGCTGAAAAATAATTGTACGATATGCAATAAGATCGAAAAAAAAAAAGAAGCGAAAGGAATACATGCGAACGACTGATCGTTGATCTAAAACGTCCTCGTTCCTTTCTGCGTTACATGCTTTAATTACTTAATTTTATTTCATTTTCTCGTAAGAAACATACTTTTTTTTTAGTATAGTCACAGGTTAAATATTTCTGTAAAAGTATAAGGTGTGACACTTACCGCGATAATAATTCATTTCGATCACATATATGTCTATATATATATATATATATATGTGTGTGTGTGTGTGGCGTGCCATCTTTTGCAAAAAAGAAAATATCATTTATTAATTAATAAACGGTGGATAATAAATATCGTTACACGATGTTTTAGCTCCTGAGTGTGTAAAAAAGAACAGAGGTAATGTGCATACAAAAATGTTTCTATTATTTAACAAATATCTCTTAAACATGATTCGTATGATCTGATCTATATTTATATAAAAAATATTTAATAATTCAGATTTAATTTTGAAAATTTGTCATAATAAATAATAATATTATTTACAAATTGTTCGATAAATTATCGTCAAAGATTAAATGATTTACTACAAAATATGCAATATTTATAATTGACTTTATTAATCATTTTTAAATCTATATTACCTCTCTTCTTTTACGCGTTTCGTGAGAGAAATCTAAAAATCGAGCGTTCGTTTAAAAAAAAAATATTAAAAAAAAAAAAAAGGAAAAGAAAGATAATATTTGCGAATAATAAATCGGGCGATGACATATATATTTCGGAACCGTAACTCGTTAATAAATATATAGCGCTTTTTTACGTATGAAAAAAAAGGAGAAGAAGAAGAAGAAGAAGCGTTACTAAAGAGAATTGTTGCGTATCTATTACAACTTTTTGTTTTATTTGATTTTCTTCTTTGCTCATCGAAGTAGTAGCACCAATTATAATAATACGTGAAAGCGTTTCACGTAATTGCAAAACTAAATATGATAATGAATCGAAGAAATCGTAGTTTTTGGTGCAAAAGAAAAATATGCGTTTATTATTGCGTTTTGTAGTAATTATCCATTTGCGTTTGTAATTATCATCGTCGTTTATGGTTTCAATCAAAAGAAAAAAAAGAAAAAAAAAGGAAAGTTAAGTCGTTTGTATTAAGCCATATTTAAGGATGCATTTGATGAAACATTGGACAAAAATTGTGACAATTTGCAATTATCATATATGGCTTATAGACAAAGAAAAAGAGCGAGAGAAAGATCTATGCGATATTAAAGATGAGCCAACAATGATCTATACCGTGTTTTGTTATTAAGATTTTCGTCGAGACTCGAACATAGTCATCTTCGGCGTTCAATCATGTGATATTATTATTTCATGCGTTATGACGTTGAAAGAAAAAAATAACAAAGAGAAGTGTATGCATATATATGTATTTATATATATAATATATGTATATATAAATATATATAAGTGCATAGTATATCTCAGGACACAACATTACGAACGATAAGATTTTCGTATACGCGATTATTATGATTATTATTTAGTTATTCGTGAGTAATAGTGTTGCATCTTATACTTTCATCAGTTCCTTGCGACGTTAATGCCATAAGAAAAAATTAATTGTGCGATTTTTTATTTTTCTGACCTTTTAGCTTCCCAGGTCCGGCAGATGCGATGCCACCGAGGTACTAAAAACATATTAATGCATATACTAGCGCATGCAAAAGGCAGCTTTAAATAATGCCTTTTTAGTGGTGGCCACTCGCATGGACCCGAATATCGAGGATCTGCGACGCAGAATCCATACAATTACGATGATTATAGGTGTAATTGATAATAGACCTAAATTCTTACGTATAACTCTTAAGGTGTGGTAAGAAAGAGAAATATCATGGGTGATGTAAATTATTATTCAATATAAAACAAAACAGAAAAAGAGGAAGAAAGATTAATACTTAATGGTAATCTCTCATTAATGAAAACGAAAAGAAAAAATACTAGAAACAGCAACATGCAACATAATATAGATACAAACACATTATACATATAGAATACATATAATAAGCTACATTTGTTATAATATAACAAAATAATTTTAATATTCTTTCTTACTTTTTCTCCCCCCCCCTTTTTTTCTCTTTCTTTTCATTTTGAGTAAAATCATTAACAATACATAAGACTAAAATAATGTTTAAACAAAGATTTTATGTTCCTTTTTCAATTTTACTTTTTCATTCGTTTTTTTGTTTATTCTTAAATATGATCAAAAATTATTATAATTATTATAATCATTATTACTATTATAATCATTATTATTATTATTATTATCATTATCATTATTATTAAAACCAATATTTACAAATCATGTGTCTTTTTATATTAAGTAAGGTAAATAATCATGCTGTAGGTTTAGATGATTTCATTATATTTTATAGTATTAGTTCTATACATATAAAAATGGATTTAGACTATAGAAGTATTGCTGTATAATCTTTTTTTTACAAATAAGAACTTAAATAATGTTTTGAATGTTCATTAATAAAGCAAGAAAATGTGCTTTCAGAAGTTATTTATGTACCTTTATAAGATAAGTATAGAAATGTAAAAAAAAAAAAAACATAATATCACGCTTCAGCGTGATTATAATTTGATTGATTTAAATGTCATGATTTTGTTCTTTTCCTGAATCTAAAATTAAATAAGAAATAGTATATTACATACCTAGGGCAGTAAAGTAAGAAATGTCTCAGAGCACATGTTTATTGACCTCGGCTTCGCCTCGGACAATAATTACATGTGCTCTGAGACATTTCTTACTTTACCTCCCTAGGTGAGTAATATACTAATTATTTAACTTGTTATTTCACGAACATTCCAAGATTTTGAAACATTAGACAAATAGAAAGATTAAGTGATTTATATTTTGAACATTTATAATGTCTCATGTAATTTCTTGGTAAAGAACAATTATTAAAAATGATTATATTTAGTCGTTAAATAAATCCTTCTTTTCTTGTCAATGGGAAAGATATTTATTTTGAGTAATAAATGCGTATTATATAAAATTAATGAAAATATATTCGATATTACTACGATAGTATAGAAACGTAATAAATTAATCATACAATTTTTGCTGTTGCGTTATATAGTTTATAGATAAAGTATCTTTAATAAGTCTCAATTATATATATATATATATAATAATAATAATAATAATATATATAATTATTTATATATATTATTATCACTATTTTATTAGGATTATGTTGTACAGATATTTCAAGATTGTGAAATGTGGAAATAGTGACTAAAAAAATCATGAAAAAAGTCTTTGTCTACGAACAACAATTTCTCTTAATAATATTTCTTTGAAACATATGACAGTTCTTTAAGGCTATGCATATTGTATATAGTGTATTAGATATTTGATAAATTTGATTATAAAAAAATAGAACATAACAATGCATAGCTTTAAACTGTCAACTCAGCTAGAGATGTTCTAATCGGTTAGATCAAATACGCAAAGATCGTTGTTTATTATGTTAGCGTGTGACACGTGCGTTTAGCAGGTTTTTACCGAATATCTACGTCCGATGGCGAGAATCAACGTGCGATAATCGAAGAAAACGTCTCTATCAACGATTATGATCTTACCTATGCGTGTGGCCGCCCGTAGATGCGAGACTCCTGTGAATAATCCAACCTGCGATATACGGATAATTCTACAAATTGCGTTTGCGCTCAAAGCTGGCGTGCTTTGAATTTGAAAATGAAGGTATGTCCAACGCGTGCGCTCTTTACTTTACCTGCATAAAAGAAGCACATGCTTTCGAGTATGTGTCAATATAATATATACATATAGATATACATATGTATATATATATATATATATATATACATATATGTACATATATATACATATATACGTGTATATATATATACACGTAGGTTGGAACTTAAATAGTGGCAACTATTTATTCACAACCGATACAAAAGAGTTACACGTTTGTACCTGTAGTAGTCACCAGCATTGTGTAGAACTCGTTGCCAGCCATGTGGAAGGCGTAGTATACTGTTAGCAGAGCCTGTTCTGTTGATGTGCGAATGGAGCGGTCTACTGCCTGTCGAATCTTCGACATCGAAGAGTTCTGAAGCGAATGCCACGATGGGTTCCGCATGAATTGCCGGATATGCAGAATGGATGCTTATAACGCTGCTTAGACGCACTTGGAGCGCTATGAGCGCGAAGGAGAGGCTTCTTTCTTACGCCGTATAGTAACAATGGATGAGACACGGCAGTAGACCGCTCCATTCGCACCATCAACAGAATAGGCTCTGCTTACGGTATACTACGCCTTCCAAATCGCTGGCAACGGGTTTTACACAACGCTGGTGACTACTTTGAAGGACAGTAACAGGTACAAACATGTAACTCATTTGTATCGGTTGTGAATAAATAGTTGCCACTATTTAAGTTCCGACCTACGTATATATATATATATATATATATATATATATATATATATATACATATATATATATATATATGTATATTTATAGATATTGGCATTACTATAAACGAATATTATTTACGGCTTGTGATTGAATCGAACAAAAAGTTTTCGAGTCACTACGAATCCCCGCCGATTGTCAAATACGTCTCATTGCGAGAATTCAAGATAAAGCGCTCGCTTCTTTCCTTTTATACAGAGGATAGAGAAGATTTTTGCGAGAAACGTGATTCCATTATATGCATATCGAGAGTTAGACTAAATGTTAGCATATTAATTTAATTTTTAATCGAATATACGCAGTTTATTCAGTTTTACTTTTGACGATAACAAACATCTTCAAAAGAATTCTCTTTTAAATTAGATGAACTCTTATGAGTTTATTTTCATTTTGTCTATATTTCAATATTTTATCGTCCATACAATTTTTAAGTTTTTATATCTTATTGATAAAAATTTATTTATTTTAATTTTGTTATAACAAATTTTATTTTTCATATTTTAATTGGATTAAACAGTAAATTTTTTGTACTTTTATTATAATATATAATATATATATATATATATATATATACACAGGGTGATCTATATTTCGAAAATACCCTACGAAATTTTCGGAATTAACTTATATATATGTATAGGTTATTCTTATATGAAAAGTTCGTAGGTCCGGTATAACGAGATATGATCAAGTGCACGCGTACTTTGCGAAAATTTAAAGTCGATTTTCTCGAAAACAAAGCCTCAAACGAAAAAATGTTATTCTATATTTTCGATTTATTTTTTCGTGTAGAATCACCCTCTTTTCGCTTGTACCATCAGTTACAGATCACCCGGTATATACATACGGTTATATATTACAAGTGAAACTATAAATATGAATATAAATATCTTATTAATAATTTATACAATATCAATTATTTTCTTTCTTTATGTGTATTATTGTATAATGTCTTCGTTTCGTTTGTTTTCTTTTTTTTTTCTTTTTCTCTTATAATAATGACTAGAAATCATCCACTGCGTCTATTCATATTTAAAAAATATAATTAATGCGCCAACTAATATGCAAATGAATGCGAAGCGTGAATTAAATTATAGTTTCTGATTTGCATTAATTTTTTACTGTTCTCGTCGATAAATTAATTGATTTAGAACAGTAATTTCTAAATCTTGCTCGAAGTCTAATTTATTTCTAAGATACTTGTAATTGCTTTAGTTTTCTTGTAATTTTTTATTTTATATTTTTCATTTCTTCCCCCTTTTTTATTCTTTGCTACGTTTAAAATTTATAATACGATTTATACATTAAATTTTGTTTAGAAAACGCTGTTCTAATAATAGAAAGTATCAATGGACTTTTGAATTAACTTTGAAATAATAGATGAAAAAAAGCATTTTTTTATTACTCATTAACAATTTTAATGATTAAATTCGTACATCATATATATATATACATTTTACATGTGCGAAAGATTAAATACATTTATTCTGCCCAACAGCTACAAAATTTAATTGCAAATAATATTATTAGTAGTAATAATAATAATAGAGTAAAATTGTCGTATTCTTCGTGTACTGCATAGCAATATATTGAAATTCATGCTTCCATACATTTTTTTGTTCTTTGTTTTGTTCTTTTATTCACAAAACCAGTCGATTATTAAAGAGCACTTACTGTTCATCTTATTTTTATAATAAATTATATATATAAATTCATTATTACAAATATAAAGTCCACTTTTTATATGGTGGCATATTATGTAATCTACATTTGACGCCTACTGATACATTATTTTTAATAGATTACAAACTGGCTGAAAAGGGAAGAAACTACTCAACTTTAAGATGAACTCAAGGAAGCTGAACTTTGAAATGAATACGAGGAGCAATACCACCATGAGTACTTACTTTACCAGATTGTTGGATACATTTGGTCATTGGATATGGACAACTATACGAGCAAATAGAATGAAATGTATCAAAGACGTAAGAACAAAATATGAGTTTTAAGTTTTATTTATTTAAAGGTTTATTTTTAAACTTCAAATGAAATTAACAAATATTTGATTTGTTCTTTCAGTAAGTAACAAGAAAGTATTTTAACAGTTTATTTTAAAATATACTATTAATACAAATGCGTGTGTTTAACATATCTATCTTAGAAACAGTAGACTACCGAAGGACTGAAGAGACCTATCACGCGACGTGGTGCATAGTTGTATTAGCTACCATAGATATTAAAAACACGTTTAACACAGCGAGGTGGGCGGATATACTACAAACTATAAAGGTCTTCAATGTGTTACTCTATCTTTGGGGCATATGCTAGAGGGACTACCTATGAAAACGACAAATTCCAGGGATAATTCTCATCGATTTTTTAGCAGCTGCACGTTAAGGGGATTAAGAGAAACAAAGATGAAACTGATTACAACTAAGCAGCAGCAGCAGTAGACGAAAGGTGACAGACATTGAATTCCTCGAAGGAAAAAACAAATAATAAAAATAAGAAGAAGAAATAGCTCTTGTCAGTTTAATTTCAGGTATATTTTATATATAAATATTAATGGCGCGTTATTTTTTAATAAAAAAAAAAAAAACTTAATATTAAGAAGTTATTAAAAAATTACTTCGTAAATGCCTCTCCTTATTGTAGCTGTGTATATCTTACATTTTCATAAATATTTTTAACTTTAGAATAAATGGCGATAAAAAAGAATGATCTGCATGATTTAAATAATAACTAAAACTAAAAAATATACTATATATATATATATATATATATATATATATATATAAAATTACAATTACGTTTGGTATAATAAAATAAGTAAGGTCAACGGTTTAGCAACGTTTAGATTACTAATTTTCTTCGGATCACTAAAGTGAAGCAACGTGAACATGGTTAATAAAAAAGTTAATTAATAACCCTTTAACAAAAACCATGTACCATTGGCTCGTAGAGAATACATACAAGAAAATGAATAAGAAAACATATCTAATAAGCGTATCAAATTAATGGAAAGAGAGAAAATGCATTGATTAAGATATAGTACTAATATTCTTCTCCATAATCATATTCATAATCATCGTCGTCTTCAATTCCACTTCTTCGTTTAAGTATTTCTCTTCCTGTCATTTCAGTGGGTTCATCATTAACATCATCCATGTAATCCTCTGCTTCATCCACTGTACAATAGAAAATAATATCAAATTAACATTTGAAAAATTAAGAAGGAGAACAGATTAATAAAGAACGGACATTCATACTTACCAACGTCTGATGAATCAAGTGCAGGTGGTGTAGAAGGTGCCATATCTTCTTCCACAAATTCTTCCAGTTCTTTTGGACTTGATATTTCTACTTTACGTTTTCTATTAGATTTTGGTGTCTCTTGTGATAATGATGTTTCTGTATTCTTTGATGACGAAATCGGTGTCCTGGTTATACGTGAAATAAACAAATATTAAAAAGAAAAAATAATGAATAAGATATTTTAAATGTAAAATATAATATTCATAAAGATTTCCACATAACAACTAACCCTAACGATTTAATCTCCGTTTTAATATCAATCTTAGATTTACATAATGGATTTTCTTGCTCTTTCTGTTGATTATTTGGACTATTTATGTTCAGGCTTTTTAATACATCATAATTGATTTTGGAAGATATACGTTTTTCTTGCAACATTTTCTCGATGGCTTCCCCTTAAATAAATAACAATATATAATTCAGTATGGCAAATATATATATATATATATATATATATATATATATATAGTATAACATCTCTCAATCTTAATTTACCTGCTGTAGAAGCAGGACCTTGATTTTTATTTCGTTTTGTAGTACGTCTTCTCTTTTTCTCTGGTTTACCTTCTTCCTTCTCTTTCTTTCGTTGTTCTTCTTTTTCTTGTTGCTGGGTCAAATATTTTTCATTAACTCTTTTCCATACAGTATTTTTGTATTCAGCTTCTTTTTCTGTCACTATATAGCTGTCCAATTCGTCGTCATCAATATCAGTAATATTAATTTCTCCAGAAGCCTGCGATAAAAGAAATGTCGCATTTTTTTTTTTTTTTTTTTTTTAACAAAATTTAAACATTTTACATGAAATGTATGTACCTACATTTTCAAAGTTAGATTTGTTTTTATCTTTTGATTCCTTTGTACCATCTAAACCCATTAATGCAATATTGGGACCTTTGAAAGTTTACAAAATTTTGTTGTTATATATAATTGTATTAATTGTTCATTTATTTTGTCAACGTTACTAGGTTCCTTACCAAGTCCTGTAGTAAATAACGTGCTTTTTTCACGCTCAAGTAACACTTCCTCAACATTCGTATTCACAGCTTCAGTATCAATGCAATCTTTAATAGTATTTAAATTACTTTCTTCAATAAATTTTTTAGTATAATTATCTTCCGAAGAAGATCCTGTAATCAATGATCCATATTAAAGAAATATATAGTGTATAATAAGAAGTTACAAAAAGTAAACAAATATATCACTTTTTCGTCTTTTTCCCTTTCCAACTTTTTGTTCTTCTATTTGTCTATCGATTTCAGCTTGAAGTTCATTTATTTCTGAATCTATATTTTCCAACTGAAATGGATAAAAGCAAAATATAGTATAAACAGTAATAGTGTATAGTATACAAAATTAATATAATATAAATTAATATTAATATTAAATAGAAAGACTAAAATTTTTGATTGTCTACTTTTTGTAATCGTTCTCTGTCCTTTTTACGAGCACTTTTAAATGCAGGTGGATCTTGTTCTTCTTCTAAATCAACTGCCATGAATTCTTCCAAAGTCAAGGCACTAGAAGGTGTATCTCCAAATTCCATTAACCTACAATTAAACATTTTAAATATCGCTGATTTAATATCAAAAATATTATATATATATATATATATATATATATATACCTTTTCCTTAAAGTAGATTCATGAACCTTAACTATTTTTACAATATCAGCAGGGGATCTATTAAATTCATGTAATCGTGCTGCCATTAGTAAAGCTATAATCAAATTTTTAAAAATGTATATATTATATATTGTTTTAATTAGAAAAGTACATCATTCAAATTTACCCGCGCCACATAATCCTGATGGTTTCCGGCCACTGTGTATGTAATCTTTTTTCATTCTTTTTATTACTCTTAGTGCAGTCGTTGATACTTCGTAAGTTTTCTTACCAAATTCAAGCTTGTTTGCAAATCTCATAATATATATGCAAGGATCTAAAATACAATAATTCATAAAAGTATATAGTAAAGGGAAATGCAACACGATTTAAATTGTAACATATAATACGTGGCAAATTTGAACATTTAATTTTTTGAATTTAGCCTTTTGAATTCGTAGAAATACTGTCACTCATTGGTTCATTTGTAAAGAGTCAAAATCAAGGATGTGCAATATGCTATTTAATTAAAATTAGAAATATATTATTCGAAAAAATTAGTACTTCAAAAAAAAAAAAAAAGAAGAGGAAAATATAAAAGGTAGGATTTAAATAAAGAGACATGCGCATTGTAACTAGAATTATCGATCGATCGCAGAGACGAAAGGTAACGTGTGGTGTTACCTAACCAGCGCCCGTCTTCCTAGCATGGCGCTTCGGCCCTAAACCTACGCTCCTTTATTATCTTAAATTTACCGTGATTCTTTCATTCGACACGATTCAAGATTTTAACTATCGATTTCAAATAAACACGAAAAAGAATAAAAGAAGGATAAATATACAAGAAAGACGTCTCGTCTTGCAGAAAGAACAGAGATGTCTAACTTATACTCCAAGATCACCGCCAAGCCGTTGCAACGGTATCAAGATAACGTCACGGTCAAGCAAACCAATGCTTGGGTCAACGGTAAGAGAATAACATGAATCAATTAAAAAGATGCTGGTATTTTAAATTCATTCTAGTTAAGCGATACATTGATATCCGATCCGAATTCGCGCGTGTGTATTTTTATGTATACACACACATAGCTGAAAATGCTCTTTTATTGATTTATTTATAAACAATGGCTGGTCGGTCAGTCATGCAATGTTTTTAGAAATTTAAATAATGTTTTGGATTATAAATAAATGGATTACACTGAAATAATTAAATGCATATAAAAAAAAAACCAATGTTGTTTCAAATACCCATTAATGTTCGATGCAGTATTTAATAAGTATGTCAAGTATATATTTAGTATTATTTTAAATTGATCCTAAAATCTTTTTAAATTGAATTATGTCGTATAAATGTGGAAGATAATGAGTACAGTATGAATTTAAAAAAGCTTTTCTTTTTTGGAAATAGAATTGTAGCATGTATGTGTATGTGTAGTTTACTACATATGCATTGACAAGCATTTACGTTGATTGGATTGTCCCGTCGCCGGCACAACTACGTTAATCATTAAAACATTATCTATACAAAAATATAATTCCGTATTGAGAACGTTGTAAACTGTAATATCGATATGCAGATAAAACAAAAAATTTAATGTTGATTAGAATTATCTTATATAATAGTAGATAACAATCGTGTATTTAATGAACGCCGTTTTAAAATAATTCGTTTATACTTTTGTTTGTGCTTTGGACTTGTACGCGATCTACATCACGTGTAACCGAGAAATACACGAATATACCCGAAGAAAAGCGAAACAAGACGAACGTTTCTCAGTGGTTCCGCTATCACAAAATGTTTTTGCAATTCAATATGATGCGAATACATGTTCCGTTTTGATCGTTACTTCTTATTGTATAACGGTATTAAATATTCATCAATTTTTTTTTGGTGACACAGTTTTTTGCTATGTCAAAACATAGATAAAAAAAATTAACTCCGAAATTAACACCAAATTGATAAAATAATGTACACTGACGGTAAATTATTTATGTTTTTTTATGACTTCATTAAGAAATATTCTTCCTGTAATCTATAATATGTTACTGTATTGTGAGTTTAGAGATATTTTGAAATCATTTCATGAGATATGTGCGTGTGTGTTTGATTAAAGAGGTTGGAGCGATTTAAAGGAGAAGATGAGTGTATTGAATAATTAAGAAAATATCAAGATAACAATTTAATGAAAAAATCTTATGAATGTTTTAGCGGAATCTCCAAGCAATGTATCAGATTCTCCTCCATCGGTAAGCCCTCTGTCCTCTTGCATTGTATTGCAACGAGAAAAAATAATATATCAGCCCCCTAGTGCTCCTACATCGCCACTGTCTTCCTTATCGTCGCCTGTAACTCATCTAAATCTTTCATCGCCCGAAGACTGTACACAAGATCCTAACTGGCAAGCAACAAAGACTACAGTTCGAGAACGTAATGCTGCTATGTTCAATAACCATCTCATGGCAGATATTATTTTTATTGTTGGTAGTCCAGGTATATAACTATTTTTCCTTTTTTCTTACAGTTGAATAGAATTGATAAATATATTGTCGCGATTATAAACAGACAATGATGTTTGTTTACAGGTCATACACAAACAATACCAGCGCACAAGTATGTCTTAGCTACTGGAAGTTCCGTATTTTATGCCATGTTTTACGGTGGACTAGCAGAAAATAAACAAGATATAGAAGTGCCAGATGTAGAGCCAGCAGCTTTCCTTGCTCTGTTAAGGTTAGTAAGTCAGATAGAATATACGTATAAACACACGTAACAATTATTAAATGACAAGTTTTATGGTAAAAGTTCAGTATTTTTAACAGAATATTATTTTAGATATATGTATTGCGACGAAGTACAATTAGAAGCTGACACAGTTTTAGCAACACTTTACGTTGCTAAAAAGTATATAGTTCCACACTTAGCACGTGCGTGCGTCAATTATTTGGAAACAAGTTTGACCGCAAAGAATGCTTGTTTACTTTTAAGCCAATCTCGACTATTTGAAGAACCAGACCTCATGCAACGATGCTGGGAAGTTATAGATGCTCAAGTAAGTAATAATCAGAAGGTATTAAGTACCATTACTTTAAATACAAGCTTGGACATGATGGTAGATGAATCCAATTTTCTTAGCGATCATGATTATCATATTCGACATTTTTATTCTTACGAAGATATTTGTATCAAAGATAAATTCAAAAAATTTCAATACGAACGTAATTATCAGAAACAATTTAGAATAAATGACACTCGCGATAGTTCGAAAAGTAGATTATCATTAACACCACACTGTTTAAGTTTATCTGAAATTAAATGTTATTCTTCTGCAATTGATATAAATAAGGAAAGATTACCATTTGCTCTTTTTCGTACGCGTAGTGAGCCATATTTTCCAGGTAATAAACTGGACATAGAAATCACACAAAACATGATGTATCGTGATAGTTTTATAGAAGATTATGAATCTATGAAACATACAGTAAATGTTAACGATCTTTCAGACAGTAGATATAGTAACAATCATGATTTATCTAAAATAGTTAAATCTAATGGTGTCATCATGTAGAATTTCTCGAATAATTAATCAGATAAGGAAAAATCGTTTTAAAAAATTAAAATTAATTTTTATTATAAACATTTCAAACATCATCAAAAAATGATCAACATTATTAAAGATGCTTTAACTTTTTAATAATCTATATTGCAATCAGTTAATATTATATTTCTTGTAACTTATATTACATTGTATTTTTAAGTTTGTTTTTTATATATTCTATTTGTATATAGCACTGAAAATATGAAACTTGTAGAAATAAGTAACAACAATAATAAAATACCATCAAATAAACATGTAATTTTATTCTAAAATGTTGCTTTATAGAAAAATAAATGCTTTTGATATTTTTTATGTAATATTAGATTTTAAATCTTTTTTGATATATTACTTTATTAATAAATGTAGTTTACTTGCAATCTTGTATATTTACACTTATATTTATGAAACTAAAAAAGGCTTCACAATAAAAGTTATATTTTATTTATGTATTGTGTCCCTACCATCATTTCATTTTAATAACAAGTTAAATGTAGATATATTAAGACTATATTCTTTAAGCTTTTATTCTTCAAAACAAATATTCCTTATCTGCTTAAAATACTTTTGTGAATCTACTTGTTCATTCTACATGTCCCTGCTTTTGCATTTTTTGTAATATACTCATTAGTAATCACTAGTTCTATGATAGTAAAATACATTTTCAGGTTCATACGATAAAAGTGTTACGAAATTCAAATGGAAACAAAAAATATATAACATAAAAAGCATAAATATAAATTTTAAATAATAATATTATATTTAGATTTTGAAAGATTATTTTTCGAGAATAACCATTCGATGACTATTGTAATAAAAATAATATGAAAATATAAGAAGAAAGCGAATTATTTATTATTTATTTAAAGTTCTCGCGCTCATGTATAATTGTTATCATTTTTTAGATTGACGAGACAGAGTTTTATTAAATTAAAAATGAAATATTCTATAGTATTTTATTTTTCCATGACATATATTGATAAGTTAAAGTCTAAGAAGATATATATATGGAGGAATTATATATTTAAATTCATATGAATTTTTACTGATAATATATCTATTGAATATACCACACAGGCAGAAATGGCACTAAGATCCGACGGTTTCGTAGACATTGACATTCATACGCTTGAATCTGTCTTATCTCGAGAAACATTAAATTGTAAAGAGATTCATGTCTGGGATGCTGCATTAAGATGGGCTTCTGCTGAATGTTTAAGACAAGATCTCGAGCCCACATCCGCGAATCAACGACAATTATTAGGTGAATATTTATAAGCTTTCCTTGAAGGAATTAAGTTATGTTATTTCTATTTTTTATTTTTTTATTTTAGGATCTGCCTTGTATCTAATTCGACTTCCAGCTATGAATTTAGAGGAATTTGCTAATAGTGCTGCACAAACTGGCATATTAACGCAACAAGAAACAATAGACGTTTTTCTACATTTTACTGCAAGTAACAGACCGATGCTGTGCTTTCCCACAAAAGCACGACAAGGATTAAAAACTCAGGTACGCATAAGAAATATTAAATTATCCAATCATTTCTCAATGCAAAATAATTTTCCTCAATGTCGTATTACTTGAAATATTATATACAGTCAAGTAGTTGTGTATCCTTTAATTTTTGTAATTAATATATATATATATATTTATATTATTCAAATTTAGCTTCCCATAATACTTGTTATGTTTGTTTGTTAAAAGTGACATGCTTATTTATCTTTTATTTTGTTTTCCATTTTTCAAATTTTGGTGGTCTATATATTTACGTGTATATATATTACATTAACAAATGTTAACTGTGATTGCTCTATATGTATAAACATTTACAAATTTTATGTGTGTTTGTAATAAAGTATTTATTGATCTACGTGAGAATTGAAAATTTCTTTATAGGTTTGTCATAGATTCCAATCGTGCGCTTATAGATCCAATCAGTGGCGCTACAGAGGAAGATGTGATTCGATCCAGTTCAGTGTTGACAAAAGAATTTTTGTGGTTGGTTTTGGATTATATGGAAGCTCTACTGGTGCTGCGGACTATAATGTTAGAATAGAACTTAAAAGACTGGGCTGTGTCTTGTCAGAAAATAGTACAAAATTTTTTTCTGATGGATCAAGCAGTACATTTCACGTGTATTTTGAAAATCCTATACAAATAGAACCAGAGTGCTTTTATACGGCAAGTGCAATACTTGATGGCGTAGAATTAAGTTATTTTGGTCAAGAAGGTATGACCGAGGCTACAGTTGGTAGCGTAAACTTTCAATTTCAATGCAGTTCTGAAAGTACTAATGGTACAGGTGTTCAAGGTGGACAGATACCTGAATTAATTTTTTATGGCCCACCATCAGATGATTGATGTAAATTTACGATGTAATTAACACTTCGATCGAAGTGTTTTTTTTTTGTTGTTGTTGTTTTTTCGAAAACAAACAAATATTTTGCGGCTATTTGGTGGCTATTGTTTTAAAAAAGAAATGAAAGAAATAACTTGCACATTTTGTCGACCTGTTAAACGAGATAAGTTCAGTTTGGTAGAGTAAAGCTCTCTATTGTGTGGGAATTCGCACATGATATGTATGTATGTATATTCTATTATGAAAATAGTTTAGTACACAGATCTTGTATTAAAGTATGCCCACCCGGTAGAATATTTTACTCTACTCTAGAAGAATATTTTGCAGTAAAGAAACTATTGCAAATCCTATGATTATCGCCACTCTGGAGAGTTTAATAAATAAGCAAATATGACAGATGCACTTTAATCTGAACATTTTTCAGAATATATTCTTTACTGTCATATGAAAAAGATCAATTTATTTTAAAAACAAATAGTGTTCAATCTTAATGGTCAGATATTATAAAAATAATAAAGCATAAAATAAGGCAATAAAAAGAGGAAAATAAATATGTATTAATATTACTCATTTTACGTGATGACAGCAGTATTAAATCAATTAGAAATTTTTGATTAGAAAATACGTTGTAACATATATGATATATAATAATCTTAAATTTCAACTAAATGATAAATATTTTTGGAACTACATAACTGAGATATTTATAAAACAAAACAAAAGTATCGTGTGGATTATAAAATATTGTTAAGAATATCTCATTTTATAATGCAAAACACTTCTTTAAATTTACGTATAACTCTAAATATTTCAATATTTCCATTTCTACCTAGCCAAATGAGTCCGTATTACGTTGAATAACCAATATATCATTTACTATTATAAATTGTATTAAAACGTCAGTATTTAAATAACATTAAAGTATAATTCTGATATTAATTTCATCCAATAAAACTAAACGCATAATATGCAAAGACTTAATTCTGCAAAAGAAAATATTCAAACATATATCTTAAGTCGTGTTTCATTAAATTAAATTTTATTTGTTATTACCCCTATTTTTATTTCTTTTATAAATTTTTCCTAATTATTTGTATATAATTGTGATATTATTTTAACTTGAATATCAAAATTTAATGAAAATTTTTTTAATTTATCCTTGTACAATATACCACATATGTAAGTGTAGATATTTTTAAATATTAAACGAAAAGTAATGCAAAAAAGATAAGAGAGAGATCAAGGATTGTTCAATATCGCAAATAACAATATTATTGTAAAGTAGTGCATATTTATCATTATTCTCTATCTTTGTGGTCATGAGATTTATCCGCCATTTATATTTTTCAGAATATATGTAGAAATTAAATCGTTTTGTGCTCAGTGCCAATGAACTGTATATATTCATAATAACAAATATATAGAAATGAGATAATGATAAAAATGTATTGTGAAAATCTGTAACATATGTGGGTTCTGAAAAAGGTAAATACCATTTGAAAAGAAAAAAAAATGAATTATTAACTGCATCATTTGTACCAAAAAAAAAAACAATATTATGATTTTTTTGGTGCTGATGAAGCTGAATTAGTCATTGTTATTCTTGCAATAAATTTAATGAATATTTAACAAATAATGAGTATTCAATAAGACCTATAATTCCTTAAAAGTATCGTAGAATTTGTTAATTAAATATTATTCAAATCTATTATTATTTAAGTTGCTATCGAGTTTAACGTTGTAAGAATACATTGTGTAGCAAGTTTTACATTTTGTTAATGAAAGAGAAGAAAATATTAGAATATTGAAATATTAAAGGAATTTTATCTTATCTATTAGTCACACTGAGAAATAATATTTTGTTGTTAAATATTATTATATATATGTATTCTCGATTACAAAAGTATTAAGTATATCATATTATTTAAAGTCAAACAATGGCTACTTTAATTAAATGCAACTTTCATTAAAATAAATTTTGGGAAAAAAAGGAAAAGAATTTCTACAATAATGTATCATGCAATATATAATAATTAAATAAATACTCACCTATTGAAGGTGTTTTGATACATAAGGCTTGCGCAAACTTCAAATACGTCCGTCCCAGTTCATGAACACAAATTTGAAGAACATCGCTGATGTCGATAAGCAAATCTATATAAGTCATTAAGGAATCATAAATAAATAATTATATATAATTCTTATTATATAATCTAAAAAAATGTTGTAGAAGTAGAAATATGTTCAAAGGATACGAGATGTTTTTTCGGAACGACAAGTAATATATACACATGCTGCATGATTATGAGCTTGCTTTCTTCCACGAGTTAATTGTTTGTTTAATGCCATTTTGTAAAAATTAACAGATTGATCGATGTGACGTTGATTGAGTCTTATAAAAAAAAAAACAAAGATGATTGAATTAAAAGAATAAATATTATATTAGTAAGAAGTATTATTGATACCAATTATAATTAGTTATTTTATTTAATCACCTATAATATGTATCGCAGTAAATTATTGACATCGATGAAACTTACCGTAATTGCATACAAAGATGCGATATTCCTTTTCTTGCATTTTGTATCGTTATAGCTCTGGATTCTTTTCCACCGACACGGTATCCTAAAAAGAAAAAAAATTACCTTTGTGTTATCTCAGTATTTAGATAAATTGTATCGAATCAATTAGATGAAAAAATACAAATTGTATATTTATATTAAAAATATCAACAAACCTGCCCCAAAGCCACTAGCTCTACCAGTGCTATCTTTTCCTACGAATTCTCCCAGAGCAATCATATTTCCAGATGGGGATTCCTCGAAAGTGGTTTCGCTGACAATAAGTTGATCTTCGAGAACGATACCACATTCTGTACAAACAGCATCACCACGTGCTGGATCTATCTCTATGTCCACAGACCCACAATGACGACACTTGCTTCCAGACATCTGCGATATCAAATAATTGTTGATTCCAAAATAATTGTTGTTTAGTTTTCGAAACAAAATGTAAGATCACAAGTATTGATATAAGAATGATTACATTTATTTCAAGAAAATTTGTACTAGATGAAAAAAAACACTATTTTTTTTTTTTTTTTATATGAACACACTTTGTATCTATTTTATTTTTGTCACATCCATTTGATGGTCCACGTTTATTAAGATACATAAGTATTCTCAGTTAAGGTTAATACAAATTTACTTTTTATAAGTTTGACAAGTACATCAGACATAGTAAGAAAAAACAAAAATAATTCTGCACGAAATGATTTAATGTGATAATTATTTGATCATTAAAATAAATATATTTTACATACCTTTATTAAAGTTTTTGATTATAATCAATTTTATTTAATATACGGTGAACGAATCCTTTTTAGCTTAAGTGTAGAATGCCAAATTTTTATGACCAACAAGGATAAATTCAAATTCCGCTAATGTTCTATAATTTTAAATTATTTGATCGATTCTTTATTAATATATAAATTGCTCAAAATGAAATATATTTATATTATATTAATATTGTAATTGTACTGTAGTAATATTAAAAAATAAGAATACCTCGAACTGCTTAACGGAAAGTTAGGTTACCAAATATACTAGAAAGTTTAAGCGAGAGTAGTAGAGAACCGAAAACATCACAGAGCCATGAATCCAAATTACAAAGTACTAATACAATGTATTATAAACATTGTAGTTATTTAAAGTTAATGTCAAATATTTAAATACAGTAGATCCGTAAAGACAATTGAATCATTAGTTTGTTTAATTATATCATGAAAAGTATAAAAAATTACAATGCATTCTTCGAAGAGTACTTGTAGAAAAATACTATAGATATTTTACTGTTTCTTTTTTAATAACGTACCTTCAATATAATGAATAATTTTTATTAAAAATGTTCACAAAAGTGTAACTTTTAATTACGAATTATATTCGCTTACTCTTTATTATTACGTTAGTAAAACATTTTTTCATTTTTTTTTATCGATAAGATTGTTGTTCTGATAATTTTTTAACTTAAAGTAAGTTACCATCGGATTTGAAATGGTAGGTAAGTTTTTATGACAAGTTACCATCGGTCGGTAAGTTCTTATGATAAATTAACATCGAATGTTTTAGTGTTTAAACCGATAGTCTTTACTTATTTTCTGCACTTTGATTGGATGTTACTTGCGTAATTTCCAGCCAATGAGCGCTCTAGATGGTGACGATACGTACTTTTTTCTTGTTACCTCTTTTATCATCATGCGCTCCGCTTACATTTTTTTAAATTTTGTGGTGAGATAAAAACAATCTTAACCTTCAGAATAGTTGAATTTCTATTGAAAATTAGAAAAAAACGTTGGAACTTCGAATCGAGAGTGGTGTTTAAATACTTTCCATGGTATATATATTTATAATGAATTTATTGATGGGTACATTCATTAATATATATTTTTAAACTATCAGATATTTCTTTAATAACTTTTTGTTCTCGATAAAATCTTATTAAATATAAATCTTATATATTATTATAACTCATATACATGTCAATGTATTTCCATTAGATATAGTATTATGTTTATAATACTTATAAATGAAATTAATTCGGAAAATATCTAATACGATTTTCATTTTAAAATGAAAAATAAGAAAATAAATAAAAACAAACATAATCTAGTATATCTCTATGTTTTTATTTTTTATTTAAAAATACGAAAATTTACACTTATTTGGGTAACATTAATGGATAGTGAAAGTTGTTTTTGCCAAAGATTTACCAAGAAGAATGACCACCATAAGAAAAGTCGGAGGAAACATAGACTCCATAGGGTTGAGGTACCTTGACTATGTATGGGGCTGGCACTGGGACCTTGACCGGGACACTTACTGGAACTGGAACAGGACGGTCAACCGGAACAGGAACATGCTTTGTTACTTCGACTGGGTAAGGCTTTGGTACATGTACAGGGTACGGCCTATCTACCGGTACTGCATACGGCACCTGAAAATACAATCATTTTCTTATTCTAATTATAACGTTGCTATTTCGAAATGAACGTCCTTGCAACTTAGGAATTACTTGGTGACGTCTAATGTAAGATCGCAACTAGAGCGTGATCATTAATTTGCCTTTCAATCATTGATTTTACCTTCATTATATTCATGCACACATTTCTATTAGATTCACAAGCATCTTTATATTAGATATTGATATTTTTTTGTAAGAAAATACAAAATTCACCTTGACTGGAACCGGGACATGTTTCTCGACAGTTACAGGGACCGGGTGCGGAACTGGTACTGCAACTTCTTTCGTCACGACAGTTGACACTCCATGGCTAATACCAATTGATGATGGGTACTGAGACGAGTATCCTAAACCATAACCAAATTCAAACAGTCCTCGTTTATCTTTTTTCGTATCTTTGTTCAAAGTTACTTCAGCTGTAGTTAATGCCACAAGGGACAAAAGGGCAAACACCTAAAATGAATGTTTGTTTGAATGAATTTCAAGTTGATAACTTTTACAAAAGTAGAATCGAATGAATATTACCTTTGAGTTCATGTTGAGGATTCGATGCGTTTTCGACTGATGAATTCAACCGAGAAGATTCTCGCTTTTATACACGAAATGGACGAACCCTCGAAAAAGCGAAAGAGACGACCGTGGTGGTGGCGGTGGGCTATCGAAATAAAGAAAAAACAAAACCGGGTGTGTACGACAAGTAGTGAGAAGAAMCCAGCCTCTCTCTCTCTTACGCAAGTATCATTTTTCTTTCTTTTCTTTTATTCCAGAAAAGAGCCAATTTTGTTTCCAATTCGATTATATTCTCCTTTCTCGTGCAACATTGTTATTTAACGAAAAGTGACGAATAAAAAACGTATATAACATAATACAAGAGAAATCCATATCCACGATACACTTTTGTAATTAATATTTAACGCATGGACACATTGGTTTACTATTTTTATATCAATGCTATTAGAATTTCATTTGAATCTTTTTTCGCTAATTGGGCCAATAACGAAGAAAGTCAAATAAGAATAGTATTGAACCCTTTATATATAATAATAATAATTACAAACCTTTGTTTAACAACCTTTGTTAAATTTTTTCCTAAACATTACCACCCTTTATATATAATAATAATAATTACAAATGAAATATGGGGTAAGGTACTTTAAACAAATTTTTATTCAAATTCGTTACTCCGAATTTTGCATCGTTTATCTTTGTTTCCTAGTCTGAGATGTTTTTTTAGGAAAGATTTTATTTGATAAAACTAGTTTATCGAGAAAAAAAAGTATTATAGATTTTTCGAATTAACATATTTAAATCAGTAGAATTAATTTACTTTTATTTTTTCTTTTTATAAATTTCTCGCCGATTTCGTAGATCTTCTTTCCAAGAAGGATTCTTTTTTTCTTTATTTCGCGATCATTTCTCTATCTTTCAAATCGTCCAAGAAGACAAAGATCTATAGCAGATATCCTCGTATTTTTATTAATTTTGCAGGATCAAAGATACAAATAAAATTGGCTATTAAAATATATAATCGAATCGAATTGGAGGAACAAAGGGTAGAGGTGTAGAAAACAAAGACAAATAAACGCATTGATTTCTTTAGAAAAACATTTACAAAATCAATTATTTATTTCATCGAGTTTAAGTATTTACTATGATAAGAGAGAGAGAGAGAGAGAGAGAGGAGAGTGAGTGAGTGAGTGAGAGGAAGAGCGGAAAAGGAAGACAACGGAAGAATGTTTTTTTTTTCTTTTTTTTTGGTTTGCTCTCGTCACTGATGTTTTTTTTTGCGATTTTGGGTGTTAAACAGGAATAATTTTTGAAGGGTCAAATAGGTAAAGATAATAAGAGGAGAAAAGATTTTTCATCTAATAATGACCATGACCGCCCTTAACGAGAACGGGAACCGTTTCCTTGACGACGACAGGTTGTGGAACCGCAACTGGAACCGGATGAGAAACGTGGACTGGTACTGGATGAGCAACTGGTACCTGTACAAGCGAAATATTGACAAAATATATCAATATGAATGTGTTTTAGTTTTAGTATATTCAAATAGAGATCAATTGGAATTACCTTGACTGGGTAAGGCGCAGGTACGGGTACTGGAACTTGGACAGGGACGGAGACTGGGTAAGGCCTGTCAACTGGAACCGTTACAGTTTTGGTTTGAACAACTGGGTATGGTCTGTCGACGGGAACGGCTACTGGCACTGGTTGTGGAACAGCGACTGGTACCTAAAATTAATCATTTCTTATTGTATATTCCTTAATTTTCCTTACTTTTTTCATGACAATTATTTCATCGAAAATGAATTTCTAAAGGGGGTACCTTAACTGGGTAAGGTCTGTCAACAGGAACTGGGTATGGTCTGTCAACAGGAACTGGGACGGCAGCAACTGCGACTGAGTGACCACCTTCGTAGCCTCCATAACCTCCTCCATAAGCTCCATAACTTCCGTAACCTCCATATCCTCCATATCCTCCATATCCACCATATCCTCCATGTCCTCCATATCCAAGACCCAAAAGTCCACGTTTTTTAAGGTTCTTATCTTCTGCCTTTTCTTCCGCTTTTTCTGCAGCATATGCCGCCGAAATCAGCATCAAGCAAATCTGAAAACATACAAAATGTTCGTTATCGATATTTCTACGATCCAATGATGGATGATTTTTGGCAAAATAACCGTTGTAACGTACCAAGGCCTTCATGTTGATCGATATTACTGTGGTACCAAGTATCGTTTGCTAAATTAAATCAGTTCTGTTGTATTCGATGAAAACCACCCTTTATATAGGGAATCGACTTTCATTTCGTACATACACCCCTCCAATAGGAAACCAATGGCCATGCGTTAAACCATCGCCACACCTACCACACGCCTCTATTTACCTACCATACAACGCATAAGTATACCTGTTACATATTATAATACATAATACGTATGTTAGAAACATAACTTACGGTTGTATAACTTACTAAATGTCTACCAATTTATTCTATATACCATGCACATGTGTAAACCTACACTCTTATGTTATCTTCTCATACTCAAGTATGACTATTCTTGCATAGTTAAGACGATCATTTTATACAGATACGTGAAAGAATTCACTACCTATCGATCAGTCTTATTTGTGTTATAATCTTTTCTCAAAATATATCTTAATAAAATTAATAATATTATCTATTCATCGAACAAGAATATAATAATTTGGATTAAAGTGTTACGATCTTCGTGTTATTATTCGAGTACAAATTAATTACGGTGAAAGATTTAGTGGTCATTTTATTTTCATCGATTCGAATAAACAAGGGTACAATTTCATTCAAAAGGATTTCAAAAAATGAATATTATAATTATGGCCCGTGACATTTGCCATTCTTTTTTGTCTTCTGATTCTTTTTAAGTTGCATTAAAAAAAAAAAAAATAAAAGAATATAATGTTCCTTTCAAATCCTTGAATTAAACTATCAATGACCGGTGCTTTGTCTTGATCATTAATCATCGACCAAGACTTCCTTTTTTATTTTTATTTTATAAAAAAAAAAAAATACAAAGAAAAGTAATAACCGATTTATCGAATAAATTCAAATGATTATGTAAAAATTGATTTATTTCTTTCAGAAATGGTGTTTAGTAGTCTGTCATATATTTTTTATCAATTAAAAATCTTTTTATATTATTTCTATTCGATCAATATGAAAAATAAAGTGCACAATCTAAATTGTTACATTTACAATGTTAATATCTCTACAAGATTTTTTTCCCCTAATATAGTAATTTCGTATAAAGATTAAAAAAAAAAAAAAATGAATAACAGTAACAAATTCGTCATCAACAAGTTAGAAAGCGTGACGCAATTCAATGTTTTAAAACGAGTTAGATTCTTTAAATATGGAAACTAAACTGTGTTTGATTATTGGGTGTGTGTGTGTGATCTTTGTAAATAAATGCTAGTCGAAATCAAGATTTAACATAATTATTCAGGTTATCCCTGAGGTTTTTTTTTCAAATAAATATGTAAATTATTTGCTTAGAAATTTCATATTATATATATATATATATTTTTTTTTTTTGATTTGCTTTAACACGTATGTAATTTTACATGGGTAATAATTTTGAGATTAGGAATGAGAATGGAATTCCTAATGATCAAAACCACTCGAATAAGTTGAAGTATTAAATGTTTATTCAGCATTTTGTTTCTTTATCTTTTAGGGGTAGTGAAAGAAGGAAGAGAATACAATTGGTTTATATGCAATCGGATAAATTTCTACGTCGTTTGAACGTCGAGATAGAAAGTCATGCTCGTGTCTCGATCGTAAAAGAAGACGAAGAGAACAAGACCGATTTCCTAAAGCGATACACGTTCACAGAAATAAGTGGGAGGACTTGAGAGATAAGAATTTCTGCATCAGTCGATACCACTAATGCATATATATATATATATATATATATATATATATATATCTACATATGTAGATCTCGTAATAGAAAAGTTACGTCAATACTCTCAGTTTAACTTGTAGAAAGATTATCAAACTCGAGCATATAGAGAAATGTAACCCCCATTGTTTAGTAATATTTCTTTTCTTAAATAAAACAGATGTGTGCAGATCACACACGGTAGAATTGAAACCTTCAAAGAAAATCAAGCTTCGAGATGTGAATATATCAAAACAATTGAATTGTAATACAGCGCCCCATCTATTGAAAGAACCTTACAGAATCTACATAACTCCTAAATAATAAATCTTTAAATTAATAATAAAAAATAATTAAAAAAAAAATCGCGATAAAAATTGTGCTATATGCTAAGTTGGAAAAAATCACGTAAAATAAAATAAATTTCATTAAGATAAGTTGAGTAGTTTCGGAATTATTAGTGGACAAACATATTGTGACACTGAATTTTTATATATAGAATTGTATTAATTAATTAATTAATATATAGAATTAAATTATATATTGAATTTAATTAATTAATTAATTAATTATTTTTGTTTCATCGGTTTTACGTTCTTCCGTTTCACAATTTTCAAATCATCTTGATTCTAAAGAAGTTTTCACTTCAAAAAAAAAAAAAAGATGCAACGAACAATTGATTGGAGCCAAACAAATGTTCAAAATGTAACGTTAACGCAACGTAATTGGTAAGACATATTATATATTTACACCTGGACAGACTTAGGAGTTTGAAAAAAAAAAATCTTCTCCACGCTAGAACGAACGAGAACTCGCGTGCAAAATGTAATTATTAAACGATGCGTGTACCAATTATTATCGAGTACAAAGTACATGCGACATCAACGATGATCGATTTCGCAAGACATGTTGAGTTTCAATGAATTTCGACATATTCATTTTAAATGTTAATAATATCTATTATTTTCTATATGTATTATTATAATTATTGTTTCATGATAGATAAATCGTATTGCATAAAAGATCTTTCGATCTAATTGTAAGACCGGAAATGGCCGAGGGAGGTGTGTCATAGTCTTAGGTCGGCGCTTTTGCTTGCACCGCTCACGACACAACTTCGAATCTTGTCTCGTATATACCGGATCCGTTCCCATGCAGATAATGCTGTTCCATTATAGACGTAAATACGGCGAACCGTATCGGTTAACTTTTATTTGGTCACGCACGTGTGAATTCCTGGTCAATTCGTGGTGAGAACGTGACACCCTTTTGCATCCCTTTCTTTTTCACAATCTGTATTATCCTTTATGGTCAAGATTTTCAAATCAAGAGTTTCTTTCTTTTTTTTTTATCCAAATATATTTGTAACATTTAAAAAAAGATGTTCTTCCAATTTTTGTAACTCGTGTACTCTACATGTAACTTCATACGGCCAACGAATGATATTTATTAATTAAATGTGAAAATAAATAAGATTGGTAGAAAGTTTGGCAATTTTACTGAGTAGCAATTATTTTCATTTTACCGGTCAATCGTGTAAGTATATTTGAACGTATACATTTTACAGCGTGCAACTTTATGATAACCACTTTTTGTAAAAATAAACGTGGTACGATTTAAAAAAAAAAACAATTTATCTACATGTTTTTCTTGTCACTCATATTTAATTGCGTATATAAGATTGTTCGATTATTTTACCAATGTTATATTTGATTTTCAATTTATCGACATGAAATAATAAAGAAATACTCGATAAATTCGATAACGGTCGATATTTAATACGAATAGTTACAAAGACTATCGGATTACGATCGATATTCTAATCGACTTCCGTCACTTATGATTAGATCACCCTAGATTTTAACCACAGAAGCTTGATCAAACTTCCGATATTAAATAAATGAAAAGAAAAAAAAATCAACGCTTAGAAATTATGAAATAGAAGTTGTATACCGCGAAAAGGGAAAGTTTTATTTTTTCTTTCATATTTTCGATATTTATCTTTACACTCTCATTTTTATATACAACTTTAAAATATTTTATAATCATTTGTGTAGATAAATTCTACGTAAAATTTTACAATTACTTAATATTACATCATTTAATAATATATTAATCAAAATTTTGACTTATCATAAATGTAAGTGATAAGATACAATGCTAATTCATTTATTATAAACCCTACTACTGTTTATACCATAATCGTTCATCTAATTAAAATAAGTAAGTAAATATAAAATAAAAAAAGAAGAATTTTACATTTAATTATCGATAAAAAATTGTTAACCGGGAGAATGTGTTTTTATGTTCGAGCTCTTAGTATGTTTCTCACACGAGAGGTTGAGTCAGAGTCCAAAGGAGTTGAAAAATTCAGAAGAACTGGTTCTAACGGTGACGGGACTTGGCTCGATTCCGATGGTGAAAGTGAAAAAAAAAGTTCTTCCATACGTATTCTCGTTAGAGGGATATACGACGTAGGTATTAATTGTTTATCCATACATACGAATTTGGTCACGAAAGTAAATTATGCTAATCAAATGATCGTAGAATGATATCCAATAATTTCATCGATTGCAAAATGTTAATTTTGTCATTTAGACGAGAAATTTTCATATCTTGATATCACTTTCATATTGGAGTTCGTAAATGTAAAAAAAAGAAAAATGGGAGAAAGATGTAGGCGGGGTGACTTAAGAATGAATAGTTTGTCGATCTATGGATCTAAGATAAATCTAAATTACTTGTATCGTTAGAAAAGGCGAAACCTGTTAAGTTACGGTTTCATTGACCGTCCACCGTCCATGGGGTCAACTTTGCGGAACAATAGCAAGGTTAACTGCAAACGTGCTTTATGGGAGAGTTAATCCGAGTCGCGACCATGACAGAGAACTTATTTGCGATAGGTCATAGACATCGATGATCTTTTACGTGAAACTCACCCAAAGGCTCTTTGCCTAAGGCTTATTTTCTCGATCAACGTGTTTTTTCTTCAACCTAACATAAGAGACCTTACTATCTCGCTGTTCTATAATTACCTATTATTGCTCATTCGAATAAATGTTTTTTTTGTCTTTTTAATCTTACAGTTATAGTATTATACATCCAATTCGAAAATTATTAAGTGTGTACTCATAGGAATATAAATCTGATGAAATTTCTTTGCTAAGTTTCTAGTAACGCGTTAGAGTCAACACGTTACAATATATCACAGTACGGTCAAATGTTTTATCGTTTTAACTTACGAAATTTATATGCAATGCAACGTTAATTATTGCACTAGATTTTGCAAACGAAGACAAATGTGTGTTTTCTTTTATTCTTTTTTTTTTTATATATAATTATAATTATAAGATTT